TTAATTTTTACTAATTATTAATTAATAAAAATTAATTAGCTTTATATGCAATTAGAAGAAGTTGCCAGTAAAATTCTGAAAAAATATATATTAAACTAGAGAACTTTAGTTATTTTTTGAGCTAAAAATAAAAAATATTTGTTAGTAAAATTAAAAACTTTTATATGTAAGAAAAATCATGTATTTTACTAATTATAATTAGTAAAAAATTTAAGTATTGCATTATTTTTGATTGCCATTGTATTTATATTTTTTTTATTGAATCATAATATATAATCAGATCTTTTTTATAATTATATCTTTATAATAATAGTTATTTAATTAAACATCTTTACAATCATAATTATTCTTTAAGTGTAATAATTATAGAAAAATTTGATTATATTATGAATTATATATGTAAATTTATATTATAATATAATTAATTAATCACGTGGCCCGAACTTTCGGGGATAGACTCATTTTTCTTCTTCACTTTGTTATTAATTCATAATAATTTGAATGTTTGAAAGAGTCCCATGACTTAAACATTTAATATTAAGCCACATGATTTGATTTTGATTTGAGTGGTAAGATGAGTTAATCAGTTTGGTTAATAATAAACTTCACAAGAAAACGGCCGGCGAAATAATTCTCGAAGTTCTTTGTCGGATGATTATTATGAAATTCGTAATTTGCGTGCAATTGATCTTAAATAAAACAATTCGTCTATTATTTCTTTGTGTCACTTTAATTGGGGTAAAGTCGGTCTTGATCTGGTCATGGTCCTTTGAACCTTATTACGTGACCTATAAACTGGGTCTGTAGATAAAGCCCATGACTTGACCTATCCAATCAGATTCAAATAATATAGATAATAAAAAACGCGAAATAGTAAAAAAACGTAGCTCACAAAAATTTCGAGTCGAAAATTGACACCACAAACACGACTGCTACTACTTGTAAAGAAAACGCTACAAGAATGCATTTTGGGTTCGCTATTATTATCTTCTTCCCGCTGTTCATTGTCTTCGCCGTCCTTTTCAGGCTCATATTCGGCACCGGGATTATTGCTAATAAACTTGTCTCAACAAGTCTTTGTTAAACCAGTTAAACTTATTTGTTGTCTTAAAATTTTATCTTAAAAAATATATAAATTATAAAAAAAAATAAAATTCATAGTTTAATAATATTTTTAAAATCTATTATAATATGTATTTCTTTAAATTATTAGATAGCTTTAGACTTCTTGCGCCATAATTATTTTTTTTAAAAGCCATTTTTTTACGATTCCATTAAGGATTAAAGGGTGAGAATTTTGTAAAAGGCTCTTGTCCATTTCTAAAAGCAAGATTATCAGTCTAAGGCTGCTACATTGGCCAACACATCGTTGATTTTGGTTCTATATCGATGTATAGTTTCGGGACTTAACGTTTCGGCGGCTGCGGATTCCTCAACTCAACCGAAATCAGTAAGGGAAAAAGAAGAAAAAGGAACAAGAAAAATGCAGAAATTCACCATAAGATTGTGACAAGAATTATACAGTATTTTCTATTTATATTATATGTAATAGGAAAGCGACGATTTTTTGCTATGTTATGTAACGCAGTAGACGCGCGTTGATAGTATAATATAAATAGCAAATTAAACATATAAATATTTTACTCTTGTATTATTGTGTATTGTATCCGAAATAAATTTCTATAGTTGGATAAAATAACGATATAAGAAATGCTAATGCCAAGTTCTAGGCGGAAAGAGTATTTTACGGATTTCCAAATTTTCGCTAAAAATTAACTTGGCGTATCAAATCATGCATAAAAACTTGGCCCGAAAAAAATATAAAAGTCAAGCGTCACAGAGAAAGGAACGCCATATTGATATATTTTTTGATAAAAGGAATATTATTTAGTCCGAAAAAAACGACATATCGTCATTAAGCATTTCATTTCTACATATTTCCCACTCTGATCTATATAATTTTGTGTTACGAAGTTCGAAAAAAAAATACAAAACGCAAAAACAAGAATTTTCAATTACTTGTCTCAAGATGAATGTCATTCAACTGACAAAGAAATATCCTCAGTTTTCACAACAAGACATATTTGACCTCATTGCGCAATTCAAGTAATTTCAATACTTATGGTGTCTTTGGAGTTCGTTTTAATTATAAAATCTTTACAAATTCTTAATTTATGAAATTTAGTAAAGTTGATTTGGAAGGTGTAGGTGCTATTGAACAAAAAGATGCAGTTAAAGCAGTACAAGATATGGGAGAACATGCTTCATATGATGAAATACGGGCTGCATTAAAAGAAGTTGATTTGAGTTCTACGGGAAAAGTAGAAATAGAAGAATTTGTCGAGGCAAGTCATCAATCGAGTCAAATCTAACCATTTATGTTACAAAATTTTTGATTTTTTATTCAATTGTTTAGTTGATTTCAAAAATTCGAGAAGGAAGACATAAATCAGCGTTTGCTGTCAACAAATCTAAGATTACTGTACATGGATCAAGTTCAAACGTCTCACATACCATTAATGAAGACGAAAGGACAGAATTCACGCGTCACATTAATTCTGCTCTATCTCATGATCCGCATCTAGCAGATAAACTTCCAATTCCCACAAATACTATGCAAATTTTTGATGAATGCAAAGGTAAAAATATTTAAATGCCGTATCATTTTTATGTAAATATTTATAAATTAAAAAGACCCCTAAAATAATTAATTAGATGGTTTAATCTTGGCCAAACTTATAAATGATTCTGTTCCGGACACGATCGACGAGCGTGTACTTAACCTACCAGTTCGCGGTAAAAAAATCAACAAATTCCAAATGACCGAGAATAATAACCTCGTGATTTTCTCTGCAAAAGGAATTGGATGTAGTGTGGTCAATATTGGATCTCATGATCTAATTGAGGGTCGAGAGCATTTGATTCTTGGACTTATTTGGCAGATTATAAAGATTGGATTATTGAACAAGATTGATATTAAGCTACACCCGGAATTGTATCGTTTATTGGAAGAGGATGAAACGCTTGAACAGTTTTTAAAATTGCCACCTGATCAAATATTGCTTCGTTGGTTTAATTATCACCTGAAAGCTGCTAAATGGCCACGCCGGTATTTATTTCATTTTATATCAAAAATTATTATTAATACTTCAATTCGATTTAATTGAATTAATCGTCTTTTCGAAATAGAGTTGGTAACTTTAGTAAAGACGTGTGCGATGGTGAAAACTATACAGTTTTACTTAATCAACTCGCCCCTGAACTTTGTTCACGAGATCCATTAAGAGAACCAGATTTAATGGAACGTGCCGAACAGGTAAAAATATTTCATAATTATCAGCATTTTTATAATTATTATTCTAATCTTATTAATTTATATTTTGATAATAGGTTCTTCAAAATGCAGAGAGATTATCATGTCGAAAGTATCTTACACCAAAAGCACTTGTTGCTGGAAATCCTAAATTAAACTTGGCTTTCGTTGCCAATCTATTCAACACTCATCCTGGTCTTGCACCTCTTGAAGAAGAAGAAAAGGCTGAAATTGAAGAATTTGACATTAGCGATGATAGAGAAGCAAGAGGTGAATAATTTATCTCGGTTATATTGTCAATTCATAGAATAACTCTTAATTAATTATCTAATAAATTTCTCTCATTTTTTAGTCTTTGCTTTATGGTTAAATAGCTTAGATGTTGAACCAGGTGTTAATAATTTATATGAAGATGTTCAGGATGGACTAATTTTACTTCAAGCATTCGATAAAATACGACCAGGAATTGTAGACTGGAAAAAAGTAAACAAAAAGGTTCCCCTATCACGTTTCAAGCAAGTAGAGAACACAAATTACAGTATACTACTTGGACAATCATTAGGATTTACCCTTGTCAATATTCAAGGTGCTGACATATGTGATGGCACGAAAACGCTGATCCTTGGTCTCGTCTGGCAAATGATGCGTCAAAATATTATTCAGACATTAATGAGCTTATCGAAAGGAGGTCGCGAGCTCACCGATCAAGATTTAATAAATTGGGCTAACGATGTCGTGAAACGTGGCGGAAAGACAACACGAATGCGTAGTTTCAAAGATGAGTCATTGCGAAATGGACTTTACTTTATTGATTTATTGAATGGTATTAGGCCAGGTGTGGTTGATTATAGTTTGGTGACTCGAGGGATTTCTGGTAATTGATTTATTATTTATGAGTAATTTGGTGTTTGGATGATTATTATGATATTTATCCTCTTTTATATATTACAGATGATGATGCACATCTTAATGCAAGATATGCAATTTCAATTGCTCGAAAGATTGGAGCTACCATTTTCTTACTGCCCGAAGATATTGTAGAGGTTAGACCTCGACTGGTAAGGTTTTTTAATTCAAATTATTAACCATGATTAGGTCGATTTCAATACTAATTCTTATTTTATCCTTATAGATACTTACTTTCATTGGCAGTCTAATGACTGTTGATCGACAAAGTGGAGGAAATTAAATATGTAATTCACCCATATGATAGAAGATTAGTAGCCTCTCTCTCTCTCTCTTTTTAGACCTCGCTCAATCACTTACTATCCAAAAAATGTTCTCTAAAGAATTTTTCTTGGATTCACATCAATAAATTATCACCACCATATACCCATTATAAACAACATATGTATTTATTGTTCGAAATAAAAATGCCATCGACCATATAATAACCAAAATTGTTGACAATCCAGACGTGTGATTTAATTTTTAAATTTTTACAATAAAATTTTGTCATGACTCTTGGAATTATTTATTAATTGTGTTTCAAAATTTTTTATTTGATAAAATAACAATTATTGTTCAAAAGAAGTGGGGAGAAAATATATAAAGGGGCGAGTGTGTATGAATTTTGCGTATACGTGCGTCTTTTTATTTTGTGTATGATGCGTGTACGTGTCTCATATATATAAGTATATATATGCGTGTAAAAATCTATAAAGAACAATTAATATGAAAATATAATTTAATTCGTCTGCATTATAGGCGGTGATGCAGGAGTCATTATACGGGTTGATGCAATCGTTATACCCTCAAATAATGCAAGAATGAGTCCACCAAGTGCTGCTGATTTGGCTGAAGCGGCAAGGCCACCTAATCAGTAAATACATGTTATAAAATAAGAAAAAATCGAGAATATAAAGATGACTTAAATCAAAAACTTCATAATCATAACCTCTTGCTGCAAGAACGCCACCCGTCAAAAATCCACTTCCGATCACATTCCACGGATCCTCTTTCTGTCTTATACTTTTAAATGCACAATCGAACGTTGAGAATAGACCGCCCCATACTGCAAAATTACCACCTAAAACAGGTGCGCGTGCTTTTACAGCTGTGATTGAGCCAATTATCCGTTCTCCCTAATGTCAATGTTATATTAGTTGATGAATGAGTCAATTATTTCAGGAAAGATTAATCGATTTTATTAATATCGGTCAATCAACCGATTGAAAAAATTTTTACTCACTCTCGGAGAATTTTTTGCTCCTTTTACCATGTGCCATATCCCGCCACCAATCGCGCCCATAGCAAACGCGGCACCTGTATCATTTAAAATTACATAAGGACTGAACAAAGTTGTAAATCACAAACATAAAGAAACAGATTGAGCAAAATTTGAACAATTTATAAATCGTATGGAAAAAAATGAATTGCATATTTACCATGGGTCTCTCGTGAAATCACCGTACCGCGACATTATATTAGGCTATATATATTTTAAAGTTTCTTCGTAATTGCTAATTTTAAATACGAACAAAAAGCGCGACAAAAGTTTTTTTTCTATTCCCATAGTTAAAATTAGGATTTAGTGATGAACAATCCACCAATACGATACGCACTCGTGCAACGTTACAATAAAAAACTATAAATAGACGATAGGAAGTTTTCTAGCAAATAATCCGCGTGCTCGAACTTTTTCTTTCTTATTCGTAACTTATCAAAGTATTGCTTCCGAAATTTTCAGGTCTTTTCTTTTAATAGGTAATCTTTATAAACTATTAATTTTCGTATAGCCATAGATAACATTTTCTTCTCACCAATATTTCTTCTTGCAATTTTAGCATTACTTTCCTCCTTCACAAATCGCCCTCAGACTCCTATGGAACAACAAAAACCTCACTACGACCCTTCTAATCTCATTTGGAATCCTCTTCACACTATAAACGAGCAACATCAATATTGTTATTGCGGGAAGGACCGCAGCTTGATGGAACTCACTCTACAATGTAAAGGTAATTTCACCAACAATTTAATTTTTTTTACCTGATTTACTCGTATGCTCTCGTTAATTGATACATGTGCTTTTTGCCAAAGTAATTTATACGTTCTAATTGAATTATTTTCTTATGATCTACATTTAGATTGTCGGAATTGGTTTCATGCAAGTTGTCTCGATATTTCCTTGGGCCCGGTTATGCTGTTTATCACTAATTACAAATTTCAATGTAAGAATTGCAGCGAAAATGGCGGAGAATTCTTTGAGGTAGAAAATTCGATAATTTTGGTTGCAATGTTTATAAATTACTAAAATTTTTATTTAACGTTCATAATTTTATTTAATTTTTCTTGAAAAAATGTAAAAAATTTTTTCTTAAAAAAAAAATAGCGTACAACGGCCGGCTGGAAAGAAATTGTCGGTTCTTCCATAGCCAATTTAATACTACAAACCCACATGCAAGAGTATGTGGCAACTAGTGGTGATAAACGGTACTTTTCCGCAAACGCGCAAAACATTGAGCCCTTCACCTACTATTTCAATAAAAAAGACCATATAATTCCGTTCGTCGACAAGAATTGGTCAATTCTGTGCACAGAACGTTCCAGAACTCAAACTTGGTTCGTAAACTTATATATAAGAATATTTGCTTGGACTACCACCGAAAATGTTTTTAGTTCAATATTTTTAAAACAGGTTTTCGTGGGAAAAAATTGCATTATAGGTGGGCTACACTGGGCTCCTGTCTTTATACTAACAAAGATACATTTGCAGCTAGAGATGAGAAAAATAGATCTGCCGCTTCTGATTTTTGTCTTATAAACCCTAATTTGTGGGATATTCGTTCAGAATCTTTTACGGTACCCTGAATTTTTTGTTACTTGTTTTCATACACGCTAATTGGTGTAAACAATATATTATCATTATTCTATATATAATAATAAGTAATTATTATTATCAGTATTATTGTTAAATATCGCTTTTGTTTGTTTATAAATTTAGGGTCATAAAACAAATATAGGAGGGCACATGTCTAGAATTTCAAGAGAATTTTCGAGTAATTCTAACCTCAGAAAGGATACAAATGATGTTACTACTATACAAAAATTTACGGCCACAAAACGTCAAAATACTGGATATCGGACCGCAAAACGAGGCCAAAATCCATTATTAACCCCCGTGAAAATTTCAGCACCCGACAGTAACAATAACAACAGCGGCAGTAGCAGCAACAATAGTAACAATAATAATTCAATAATTGGTAACTCTGCCGCTGCGTTCGTACAGTCTGGTGAACAACGTAATATTCGAAACGGATTTAGGTATATACCATGTCAAAAAGATGAATTGTTTCCTGTTATCGGGTATCGTAATTCGGAACAATTTCCTTACGGAGTAAGATTAAGCAAAGAGGATGCAAGCTTATCTGTTTATATAAGTGCGGACCAATTGACGGCTACTACCGAAAAAGGATTTCGGATGGCTAGAGCCAATTGCAGCGTACGTGAAGGAAAATGGTTTTATGAAGTTTATGTCGATCGAGGTGGTGAAGGCCAAATAAGAGGAAAGGATGCTGCTCACGTGAGAATAGGGTGGGCTAGACGTGAGGGTAGGTGTGATTTTTCGATCAACTGAAGATATTTGCAAGTGAATGTATGCTTATATAAAAATATTACTCTATTAACTTTTAAGGTAACAGAAATGCTCCTGTTGGATTTGATGGATATAGTTATGGTATTAGAGATCTCACTGGACAAAAGGTACATCAATCGCGCCCAAAAAGTTTCGGTGAACCATTCAAAACAGGAGACACTATTGGGTTATTTATTTCTCTTCCACCATTGGAAAAAGTTTATCCTGGCTATAAAGTAAAATCCGCAAAACGCCATAGAACTGCAATTACACTAAAAGGTTCTCCCGCGTTCGAATATAAAGATTATAAACCAACAAAACAAATGGATGATTTACTTAATCCACCGGTAAAAAAGAAGTTTGAACCTTCTTCCTCCTCATCAAATAATAATGAGCAAAAAGAAACTTCTCAAAAAGAAACACAATCCCCACCTTCGTCATCCTCATCATCGTCATCATTATCATCGATACCTATTTTACCCGGATCAAAAATAATTATATACAAGAATGGAGTGTGTCAAGGTGTTGCTTTCGAGGATTTGTATTCTTTTTTACCTTGTCCTGACGAATTCACTAGAAAAGACGAGTTGACTGATGACGATGGAACTCTTGGTTATTATCCGGCAATCTCAATGTATGGTGGTGGTACATGTACGGTAAATTTTGGTCCTTACTTTCAATATCCGCCACCCGCTGATCCCGAAGCTGAAGTTAAACTTCCGCCTACACCTTCTTCCACGCCTTCTTCGCCAGTTGCAGCAGCAGCACCAGCAGCAAAGACAATAAAAAAAGTTCGCACATGGAGACCGATGTCTGAACGATATAGAGAGTTTATCGCTGAAGATGTAGTCTATGATATCATTGACGAAATTGAGAGTTGGGCTAGATGGTTAGGATATGAACGTGTAGATAATAAAAAATCGTCAGCAGCTGCCACTACAGCTGATCGAAAGAAAAAACGAAAAATTGTAAAAGAGAGTAATTTTGATGAAGATTAAAGAGATATGAAGATTTATGTGAGAGGGCAAAGAATTCTGAAGTTGATATGGCAAGTATCATAGTTTATCAAACAGTTGATTATGTAAATCTTGAACGTTTGCGGCTCAACAACTGCATGAATCGGAGGATTTGCATATGAAAAAAGACATTGATCTAACGAATATTTTAACGCATCAATCCCCAGGAACAGCACACAATCAATCAGAATACAAATTTTCCAAAAAAAGTTATTAATTGGATTTAATTTAAAGCAGCAGAACGAGCACGGTGTCTGCTCTTTTATCTAAGTGATAATATTTATCGGGGACGCTGAATATGAATATTGGCATTTTTATTCTTTGTTTACTTGACTTTTACACGTGAACGGTAGATTTCATGCGACACAAGTTTTCGGGAATGGTATGACTCCAATCAAAAATTTCCAAATAAAGTTACGCATCGGGAATTATGACGAGTATACATGTAGGTAATAAGTTAACTTCTATATCAATAAATAATACATGCATCTTTTTACAATTATCGTGTTTTGTGTGTTAAATGAATTATTTCATCGATTCTGTCCTTATTATCAGCAAAAGAAATCCTTTTGTTTTGTAACGCATGGATATAGCGACAATCATTTGGTATTTGGAAATACTGGTTTTTTCCTGCGCTAATTGAAACTGTAATCCTCGAAAGCGGAAAGACCTATTCCATCATCAATTTGGCGTAGTTAGAATCTAGTCAAAATCTTAAATATAAAAGTAAAAAATTTCGCCTTTTTGCTGCCAAACATTTTTACAAATAATAAAAATAAATATAGTCGAGTATGCGGTGTTTTATATTTACTTTAAAAAGTCAAAGATACAGGTGATGTCTTTTGTGTTAGTGTCAGAGCATATGCTGTTGGTTTCTTTATCACAAAGTTTTTTTACCTAACTTTTTTTAGATATTAGTTCAATTCGATATTGAACCTTTCAAAAATAAAGAGAAATTCACAATTACTGTGATAAAATTGACAGACTTGACACAATATAATGTTGAAACGGTTTCTACTACAGTATTTGAAACATGTCAACAAAAAGGAATTGATTCTCAAAAATGTTATTTTTGACTAACGGATAATATAGCATACATGTCTTCAGATGCCAATAATACCCTAGCCACGGCAAAAAATTCTCGTTTATTTTTGAAAAATAGTTTGTATCTCGAAATTTTGCCTATGAAATTACTTTCTGTGCTCTAATAAAAAAATGTTCTTTGCAAAATTTTACATTTCATATAATGTCATCCAGCAGACGAGGTAGAGGATATCTCTCAAGGAGAATCCAGAGAGAATAGACTTGAGAGTGAGACATTACGGAAGGCGAGGTGATTTGATTGTTAAGATACGGTAGGTACTATATTGCGAACAACCAGTTCCAGACGCTTATACATGTCCTTTTTCCTAAATTTTCTTCCCACACACCGTAATAAAATCTTAACTCTGACCTTAACTTTAATCATCAAAATGCTTTTCATATCTTGCAATTTGATTGGTTTACCCCTAAAAATCATGTGTCCAACAATTTTTTTGCCGTGGCTACCTTGTGAACAATCTTCTCGTTTAAATCTGACGGCTTCTAAAAAACATCTCTTCCAAAATGCGTTACGATCATTCCATTTAATGGGCGTACGCTCAGCGATTAATATCATTTCATGTTTTGACAAAAAATCGTTATATGACCACTTATTGGGGTACTATATGGCGAGGCATATACAATCCGCGTCCATGCATAGTTCTATACGCGAGGTGAATTAAAGTGCTCCTCGTTAGAATATGAAGTGCTGGTAGGCAGAAAGGGTTCAAACCTAATTTTTCGAAACTTGGATAAGTCTGTTACTGAGTAATTTTTCATAAGATTGTGATGTTTCTCACAATCGTAGACACTATGGTCCATACTAAACGGTAAAGAAAAATAAATTATTATCATTGCTTAAAAAAGCAAAACTAAAAATTCTAATGAATATTTACTTTATTTTCTTTCACCTTTTTACCATAGGTGGTAATCATCTGATTCCTCACCATCGCCTAATACTATTTGAGGTTTAGTTTGTGATCGCTGTCGTTACTGTACACACATCAAAAAGATTCGCAAGTCATTTTAAACTTTTTTCATGCTAAATATACCTTTATCATCTTGATCATTTTTGATCATCTATTATCATATTAACTTCATTCTGTTTTCTTGGCATGTCTGGATAATTTCTTTACGTGTATGTTTGTTCTCCCATTACTTCACTTTATTTTTAACCCTAAAACGGAAAATTTAGAATTAGAATTTATTATGTATTCGTTATATTAAGATTAATTGTTATATTAAATATACTTACAATATTTCATTATACTCAATAAAGTAATTTAATTACTAATTATTAATAATTAGAAAAGTAGACATCGTATGTATTATGTCAAGCTTAATCCAGTTGTCTCAGAATCTCTTGCTGAATTTCATGTAATATTTATGCCACTAATTTACAAAAACGTAAAAAAGTTGGCGGTGCAAAGCAATAAGAAATCAAAAGTTTAATACTTCGTGTAATGGTTCTTATTGCAAACTTTTGATAACTGGATCAAAAAACTGTCGTGTTCCCCATCTGATTTTTCATCTTGACACCAAACAAGCTTGGAGATCATCCGTGTCCCAATACTGCCTTTGTGGCCTGGATCGGAGATGAATGATAGAACGCTCGGATGCCTCTATCACGTCACTTTATTCATTAAAAACTTTCAAACTCAAACTTGTCTGTTTGTAATTATCGAACAATTGTTGAGCTTTCTCACGCCTTTGATCTTTCTCCGTGGTTTCACCCACAAAAAATCAAAAATTTATTTCTTATCATTTTCTTTGGAGCGGATATAATAAATTCAGAGCAAACGGGAATAAGATAAGAGAGATATCACTCTTTTTATAATCAACAGTATTTTGAAGGTCTTGACATTGTACAAGAATAAAATGAACTGATCATTAAAATTTCGTCTAAGGAATTTTCTGTTTTTGCATTCACTTGCAATATGACCAAATCTTCCATTATTTCTATTATTAGAATGATTATTAGACTGGTTAACTTTGAAGTGATACTTTCAAGCCAGTATGTCAGCCAATCAAATTATGATCTCGTGATAAAATCCATGCATTACAAAACATTAGATTGCAGCAAGGTATTATTGGGTCAAAGATATTGTCACGTGAAAGCAAGCACTTCATTATTTCTATTTACCTCCCATACATAGATAACTCTATCATTATTTGTACTCTTATATAAAAATACTCTACGCTCATCTGAAATTCATATACTTATTAAAAAGTAAATTAGCAAGAGATGGATGATTTTAGACGTTACCGTCAACAAGGAAAACAAGATCAAGGAACAGCACGTAACGAATTGTTTAGTGGCGCTACTCAACAAAATTATCCTCCTCCACCACAAAACTACAACTATACCCCCCAACAAGGAGGTGGATATGGTGGTGGATATGGACAACCACAACAAGGCGGAGGTTATTATGCACCATATGGTCAACAACAGCAACAAGAAACGGAAGAAGATATTGAAGGCATCAAAAGCCAAATTCGTACTACCAAACAAGATTCGGTGGCTTCTACTCAAAGATCCTTACAGATGATCAATCAAGCTGAGCAAAATGCTCAAAATACTTTAACTAAGCTTGGAGAACAAACTCGTGAGTTTTTTATGACTTTAATTACCATGTAAAATTGAGGTATCATATATCTAAACAAATATCAATTTTTATGATAGAGCGTATTAATTACACCGAACGTCAACTTGACCTCGCCGAAGCTCATGCTGAGCGTGCGGAAGCACAAGCAGCAAAATTGAAAAAGGTTCGATCTTTTTTTTTAAGTTCAGATTGATTGATTGATTAATTGACACTAATTTATCTTGCATTTAATTAAATAGGTCAATGGTTCAATGTTTGGTTTCGATATTAGTAATCCATTCACCAAGGGTAAACGTGAACGTAAAGAACTCGAACGTGTTCAAGCGATGCAAGAGGAACAGAGACTAAGTCGCGAACAGCAACGTAGCGGAAACTGGGAATCACAACAACGAATTAACGATGCATTAAAACATCAACCTTCATCTAAATCAAGTGGTTATCAACAGGGCCATTCGTCAGATCGATCTAGATTCCAATTCGAGGCTGACGAAGAAGATGAACAATTGGAGAATCAAATTGATAACAATTTGGATGCACTTTCTTCTGGATTAGATCGATTGAATGCTATGGTATGTTTTTTTTAATGTCTTTCTATTTTATGCGTATATGTAATTATATGATACATATTTAATATAATTATTTTGTTCTACAATAGGCTGTTGCTTCGGGTGAAGAAGTAAGACGACAAAATGACGTTTTAAATCGTATTGGTTCAAAGACTGAAGGATTAGACCAAAAAATTGTAACCACCACCCATAAATTGAAAAAGATCAAGTAAAATATTATAGAAAATTATGTGTTTAATAGATTGGGGGGGGGGGAATATCGGACTTTATTCATATTTCATATTAAATTTTGGAATTTATTTATTTAACTATTATCTTATTCACATAATACTTTTTTCAAAAAAAAATACTTTCTCATACGCGTCTGCTGTTATATATTATAATAAAGAGAATGGGTACATGTAAAAGAATAAATCTAATGTATAAATACAATATAGAATCTCTATTAATCTTTTTCTTTTATGTATAACTTATAGCGTTCTCATTTAGAATTTCTACAATAACAGTAATAATGAATGAAATATTAATTATACTTTTTGTAATTCCAGTTAACTCTCTCAAAGCGCAGATTGTTTTTGTATTCAAGTATGAGTTGGTGCAAAAAGATTTGTACCTCAGATAAATATTAATAGATTATTTTTTTAAAATAAAATTTTAATTCTGTCTTATTTAATTAAATTATTAGATATTGGGATTTATTTAAATGTAAAAATTTTTATTATATATCTTTTATAAAAAATTTTTTACTAATAATAACTTTTTTCAATTAT